ACAAGTCAGCTTAGCTCTTATCCCGCTCCATCTTTTGTCTGACTAATCTCTTTGGACATATCAGCTCCGTTAGACAGGGATTAGTGGGTTCTTTCTATCGCTTAGCACTTACCACGCTGGGAAACCTAGGTGCCCCTGTGAGTTTGCTGCATACGTGTATTACCAGACAACTTCTACAAAAGTCGTCTCCAGGAAGAAATCCCATCTCGGGGGACGAAGGCTTCCTGGGAGATTTCAAGCATGCTCAGCCCTGCAGTCCCCCATTGGGATTTGGCCTGTGATATGTGACAGCATGATTTCTAGCACTTTTTAGGTGCCTCTCTAATACCTCCCAGGGCTCCTCGCATGGGAAGTGTGATGGGGATAGTAGTTGCACAGGCATAGCTCAGCATCTGGACACTGCTGTATTACAGAGAGTATGGCATTTCAGGACCCTGTTCAGTTCGGACATGCAGTCCCATGGCTACGGCATTAACTCCTGCATGATACTGCTCAGGGGTCTGACAGAGGGAGCCAATGTTCAGACCAGTCACTTCCCACCTTGACAGGGAGCTCCAGCCGTTCACAAAGCAGATGGTGCTTGGCTGCAGAAGAGCTGCCGCTGTTGCTAGTGATTGCAATATGCCATGTTTTTCCTTCCCAGCCTGGCTGGGAATTAGATGCTGCTACGCCAAGAGAGATAGTATTTTGGATAAGATCTTCCTCTAGTGCCCATTAAGTGTTTAGTCCATACATGAGCCAGCCCCACTGTATCGATCCTAGAGCGAGGAGGCCTGAAACACATTAGAGGTCCCATGGCCATCCTTCCCCTGGAAAGCCTTATCAGGGCTAGTAGCACAAACTTGTGTCTGAATCTGGTTTGACTGAATAAGGTTCCTAGGGGGAGAGCAGGATGAAGGGCTGTCAGCACTCACTGAGCAGCTCAGGAAGGCCAGGCACTGTGAGCCTATTGTACAGCTGAACCCCCCTCACATCTCTCTCCCCACCCTAAGCTTTAAGATTTATAAAAGACTATTTTTAAATTAAAAAAAAAAAAAAAACTTTTTAAAGCTTTTGAGGGAGGATTTACTTTCTAATATATCATATCTTAAACACAGCTTCACTAACGTCTTGCTTATGGGACTGCATTCAAGCTTAAAGGACTGCAAGACATCTGGGATGGTTTTCATTGTGGCGTGAAAATCTGTGTGGGGATTTTAAACCTGGTTTCCTAGAAAATGAGCCTGTGGGTGACTGTCCATCTGACCCTAGCCCACGGCAGTATTTGAGCCTATGAAGTTATTTAGGCCAAATATGATCCAGAGGTTTTGGGAACAGGAGCAAACTAATATTCAAGCTGTGAGATGAGAAAAAGGAGATGGGGAAGAGGGAAAGTGTGTTGTTGGTTAGGCTGAGCCTGCCTTATCTTCCTGACTGCAATGACGTGACTCCTACACTTATGCAGTATAATATGCAGCCTTTCTCCTCCTCCATGTCCCACAAACTCATCAAGGGGATCCCTGGGGCACACTCATCAACTTCCCCCTTACATTATGGCCCCCTGTCGCACCAGACAGTCTGACAAGGAGAAACTCCAGAGACACAGATAATACGCTCATCTCCTGAACTTTATAGGACAACCTGCCTAAGGCCCAGTCGGGATCTCAGGGATTTTGAGATGCTCTGAGCCTTTTCCTAGCCTTCTGCATAGCCTAGCAGTCGCGTTATTTCACATTTACATCCGATTCCGTGGGAATCAATAGGCTTTGAAAGGGGAGGTACCCAGCAGAGGATGAGAAAGTCCAAATGGCATAGTGGGTGGCAGGAGCTGAGGTGAGACCTGGACTGAGAAAGTACAGACAAAGGTTAGAGGAGGTCCAGAGACCAATGCTACATGCTCTGTTCCACACAGTCCGACTTCTGGGAAAGGCGCTTCATCTGGAAAAAGCAGCTAAAGCCTTAGGAAAGTACATTTATGCATGTAAATAAATAAAATGATATTTAACCTTCTTCCCAGGCGTGCTATGAGTGTGAAAGTTTGCAAAGCTGTGAGATCCTTAGTTGAAAGGTGCTGTGAAAGTGCAAAGCGTTATTAATATCCTTTACCTTACTCATAATAGAGTATGCATTCATTCTGGGGAATTTCTGGACATAAACCAGACAGCTGCAGAATGACATTTCTTGAAAGCATCTATGATTTATTTTGTGCTCTTTAATTCCATTTTGTTTTGAACACACATTTGTCATAGGACTGTTGTTCCACTGGGCCTTTTAAGTCTAAAACAGACTTAGGGACCTGATCCTTAGCTAGTATAAATTGGCCCCTAATTTCACTGTAGCTATTTGCTGATTTACACCCAAAGAGGACCTCAGCCTAAATCTTTTAATTGAATTTCCCCAGCTCGGCAAGTCTTGGTGTAAAATCCAAGTGGTTTTAATGACAGATAAGACTCTGCCTGTAACCAACCGTCTGGCTGGAGTTCTGTAGAATCTCTTCGAGCCACTGGGCGTCAGGTCCTGAGAACGATATTGTTTTTGCAGAAACTCGAGTCTCTGGATAGGTTCCCTGGCCCTGCCTTTTCCATTTTGTTTTAAACACGTTCAGCTTTAGAGTCTGGGCCTGGAAGCCGGGAGGGCTGGTGTAGTTCATTTACGTTGCACAGATTTTTGTGAAAGCAAAACAAAAATAGCTTAGTGAATTTGATTTTTTTTTAAGAGAGAGAGAGAAAAACGTTAGAAACTTGCACTGTTTGAGTGAACACACTGTTTCAATAGCAGTGCCTGCGTTGCTGAATGCCTTGTTTAACCCTTCTCACCGTTGCAGTCATACTCATAGCTAGGCCTCATCATAACAGGACAAGTGCAGCCGCCCATATATATGCCCACACATTACTCCAGTGGGATAGAGAAGTACCTTTAATCCATCCTATATGTGGAAAAGTGAGGCAAAGGGAATCATCTGAGGTGCATTAAATCTGGATTAAATCTGGGCTGAGTCACATGCATACCATCCTTCTAGGCTGACATTTTAAGACCTAAAATGTACGCTACAAGGGAACCCATTCAGGGAGCTTCTGAACGATTCATGACTTGAACATAATTTTGGACAGGCTCAGCCAAATCCATCTGGAGGGCCAAGCCTTGCTCCTTTAAAGCCTAAGCAGGCACTGCAATACACACCTGGCCAGCACATCTGATTATAATAGTGTCACTTAATAGTAAAAAAAACCCTCAGGAGATGCATTTTACACTCTTTTTCTGTGACACTGCGAGCAAAGCAGAGTCCTCTTCTGTGCCAAAGTTTCTCCATCTGGAAGAGGAGGATGATCATCTATCCAGATGATGGCCTATTTGTTTACTCAAGACATACTGATGCGTCTGAATCAACCAACCCATTTTTAGCAGTTGATTAACTCTGATCTCTTTTCTGACACCCCCCCCCAAAAAAAAATCAGAAAAAAAAGAAAATTTTCAAAGTTAATTTTGCCACTTTTTAGAAAGGATTTTTCCCCCTCAATCTGAAAGAATTCTTCTGTTGGAAAAGTAATTGCTACCTCTACTTTTAACAAAGGATCACCATGTAAGTGACATTTTGCTTTAAAATTACATAATGATAAAACTATTTTTGGTTGAGATAGCCCAAAATGTACATCAGCACCTTGATCTATGGACATTTCTGAGGTTTTGTCTTTCTCTCCCAATTCAGAACTGTTTTTTTTTTTCCTTAAAATATTTCCCAAAACATTTCCCTAATAGCTCTAGTTGTAATACTTCTGAAAGATTTCCCAGGGGAGAAATGAAAATCAGAGACTGGCTGGCAAGGGGACATGGGAAAAGCCAGTGGTTGCTTGAGGCCTCGTCCGTTTGGTGCCGATCTCAGTCAGCAGCAGCTCAAGCTCTGGGTGCGCTCGGATGCGGCAGCGTTTGCACGATGGGTTCCCGGCAAGGAAAAATGCCACACATGCAAATAACAGCTTTGCTTATTTACAACGATGGCAACTGCTGAGGCTTGAGCTTGGGCACAGAGCACCCCGGCAGCGCTAGGCTGCGAGCCAGCATCCAGCTCGGCTCCCAGGGCCGGCCACGGGAGCGGCGGCCGGCACCCCTCCCCGGCC